AGAAGTATTTGTCAAACAACCTCTTGGTTTTGAAAACAATGACTATCCTGACTGTGTCTATAAACTTGATAAGGCTCTTTATGGGTTAAAACAAGCTCCAAGGGCATGGTATGATAGGTTGTCAAGGTTTCTCTTAAGCCATGGCTATTCAAGAAGGAAAATTGATAACTTTTTTTCTCAGAAACAAAGGAAATGACCTACTAATAGTACATGTGTATGTAGACGACATCATCTTTGGAGCCACAAACAATACTCTCACAAACGAATTTGCCAGCCTTATGAGCAACGAGTTTGAGATGAGTATGATTGGCGAATTGAACTACTTCCTGGGGCTCCAAATAAAGCAAACACAATCAGGTACCTTTATTCATCAATAAAAGTATGCCAAAGAACTACTCAAAAGGTTCAACATAGAAGATGCTAAACAAATTGATACCCCAATAGCTACAGCTACAAAATTAGACTTAGAAGGAACAGGTTCTGCTGTAGAACAAAAGTTGTATAGAGGCATGATTGGGTCTCTCTTGTACCTTACAGCCAGCAGACCAGATATTATGTTCAGTGTGGGATTATGTGCTCGATTTCAAACTAGTCCCAAAGAATCTCATCTCCAAGCTGTTAAAATAATTCTCAGATACTTAAAAGGAACCACTGATTTGGGACTATGGTATCCAAAGGGAAGTAACTTCGAATTAGTAAGGTATGCCGATGCAGATTATGCTAGTTACCTTGCAGACAGAAAGAGTACTACATGTATGGCTCACTTTCTTGGTTCATGTTTAATCTCCTGGGGATCAAAGAAACAAAACTCTGTTGCATTATCCACCGTAGAAGTTGAGTATGTGGCAGCAGCTTCGTGTTGTGCTCAATTATTGTGGATTAAACAACAGCTTAGGGACTTTGGGCTTCATGTTGAGTGTGTCCCAATTTTTTGTGATAATACAAGCGCAATAAACATTGCAAAGAATCCTGTCCAACATAAGAGAACAAAACATATAGACATCCGTCATCACTTTCTAAGGGACAATGTAGAAAAGGGGCAAATTTCAATGAATTTCTGTGCCACTGAACAATAAATTGCAGACATTTTCACAAAAGCATTAGCAAGGGAACACTTTGAAAGGAACATGTTGGAATTAGGAATGATGAAGATCACCTGAGTATCTCTGCTCACGAGAGTTAACTATGGCACTTAATTAGAAAAGGGGCAAATGCTAACAGGTTTTAATACTCATAACGAACTGTAACTAACGAATTCATCATTCTCAGGTAATTAGGAACTCAAGGACTTGGACTTCAAAAATTCATCATCCTACACTAAAAGGTATGTCTACTATACTTATTTAAGTAAGACCAAAATATTAAGACTTGTGCACTGGTACTCGTTTCTGCATTAAATACCTGTCAGCAGGATTTTTTTTAAACCGCCAAAATAAAAATCAATCTGACTCCTCCATCAAATCAACCTGTTCCTCTTCTCCAAAAACCCTTCCACTTCCCTGTAATCAATCTCAAACCTTATTTATTTTTTACTCTCCATCGAAAACCCATTTTCCTTCATTGGTCTCTTCCCTATATTCATCAAACCCTATTTTCAAAACCATGGCATCCTCCTCAAATCTAAACCTTGCCCTTATTCCCTTTGAAAATCCAGAAAACCTCTTTGAATTACCTGTTGTCCTGTTCATTGACCCTTGCGGAATAACTCATCTTACATATCTTCTAATGGAAGAAGCATCAATTCAGGGGGAAAGAAAAAACCCGAGTTTGGGGTCTGATTTAGGAGATGAAACGATAACACTTAGTGAGGGGGAACAAACATCCTCAAAGGAACAAGCATATTCTTCTTGTGACGCCTACGATGATATTCCATTGGTCCAGCTGGTTTCTAAAAGGCTTCGTTCACGACTGCGTCAAAACTCTTGTCGACCCATTGCTATGATTCTTCCAGATGCTCATGCAAGTCTTATTTCTAACCCATCAGTGAGGGCTCCGGTTCGAGTGACTCGATCTGTACAGCGTACTCAAGACGCAATGCTTCTTGCTAAGTCGACTAAGATTACTCGCCCGGTGCAAAGTAAGTTTGTTCTACATTCTAATCCTATAGAGATTGATGATGATGACATTGAACCAAAGAAGAGTAGAAAACGAAAAAGAAATACATCTAAACCGAAAGAATCTGGTCCCAAATAAATTGTTGAAATTGACTTTGCTAGGGCACAATCTTTTAGGAGAAAAAGTGTGATTCGGGGTAGGGTAGTTACTGGATTTGGGGGTGACGAGATAAGTGAATTACTGAAACTTGTGCAAGCCCAATGATGGACTGAACTACTTAGTCAAGGAACCTTTAGGCGTAGAATGGGTAGAGAGGAAACCAGGGAGTTCTACCTTAATGCGACAGGGTCTGATACGTCAATTTCAAGTACTGTTTGTGGTGTTTCGTTCACCCTCAATGCTGAGATTTTATCCTCTATAATCGGGGTACCAAATAATGGATGGGGTCACTATGTTAAGCGAAATTGGCCACCTCTGGAGGGTAACATCTCTGCTCTTGAAATATGTCGCCGATTCTCAAATGATCCTACACTGACTGATTATACCAGAGTTGATAAAGGAGTTATGCTACCCTTGCATCGTTTGTTGTTTGATGTTGTGCATAAGATAGTACTACCTCAAAAGCAAAAAAGGACGGAGGAAAATTATTTGGATTTTACTCTTATGGAGTTGTTGCTATCTAATATCCAAATTAACTTACCTGCCCTGATTCTCAGTCATATACATGGTCTATGTGTGTTTGATAAAAAGAAACGTGGACTGGCGTATGGGTTCTGGCTTGGTATGGTGTTTGAACATTTTTGTGTTCCTGTTAGGGAATGGCAGATTCAGACCATCAAGGATGTCTTAGGGGTTGTGAATCATGAAACTATACCTGCTACAAAGAGAGAGGCAAATGCACATATGCAACGGTTGAGAGCCTCGTTGACTGCTAAGACTGAGGAAATTACTGCACTACAAGTTTCTCACTCTGCTGCATTAGATAAGTTGCACAGTGATTATGGTCTGAAGCATGATCGATTAGCTGAGGAAAATTCAAGGCTTAAAGAGGAGCTTGCTAAGACTCAGGCTGCGTTGAATACTGAGAGATTATCTAATTCCGATCGTCTGAAGCACCTCTATGAACTGCTAACCAAAGACTTATCTTCCTCGTCCTCTGCTTTACCACCATCTGTCTAAACATCCGCTTAGTGTGCTATGTCTTGTGTTTTGGGTTCTCACTTTCTCAAGTCTTTAGTAGACATTTCTGTTTTTGTGGATAATGGTTTTTGTTTCTGATCTGTGATGTAACTAATGACTCAGTTTGGTGTGTTTGTTTTTATAGCTTCTTGTGATGTTATTGCTTCTGGCTTGGATATATCTTCATTTTCAGATTTTTTGCCTAATGTCAAAAGGGGGAAGGAAAGCGTGCATATGGTGTTTACCTGTTCGATGCAAGCGGAAAGAATTTGCCATAGTCAAAAAGGGGGAATTTGTTAAAGCCTCTAAGTTTTGAAGAATGACAAAGTGAATAGAACAGGTCGTGCATACGTGATACAAAAGTACTTTGTCAAAAATGTATAGTAGTAGAAATTCAAGGTTAAGGAAGTTTTCTTAATCAATAAGGAAAACTACATAAAGTAGGAAAACTACTATGTGTAAGGTTTCTGTGAAAGAGGTCGAGTACAAATAGGAGTCCAAGTTGAGGTCAACAAGGCTTTGTAGCGGCAAAGACAAAGTTGAGTCGAATAAAGACTTACTGGAATTCTGATCTATAAATAGAGGGTTATTTTCTTCAGAAAGATTGCGCACTTACATTGAAAGTAATATCAAAACACGATCAAGAGTTGAGAGAGTTTTTATTTTTATTTTTGGGAGTGCTGCAAGTTGAGAGAAAAATTGTACGATTGTAGTCAAGAGTTTTGAATACAATCAAGTGTTTGTGAGTAAGTTTCTTTTGACAAGTTGAATTACTTGAAGAACGTTTGAAGACTAAAACCTGGGGTTTTTTTGTCTTGGGTAGTTAGGAATTAGAGTTTATAATTCCTTAGGTTACATAGCTTTGTAATCCTTGTGTTATTTGAAGGTTTTTAAATAATACAAAGTACTGAGCAAGTTGTTATATGAAATTATTTATTGTTAAGCTTCAAACAAATAAGAACAAGTAGTCATTACGTGTTCCTGTATAGAATTCAGGAGGGTAGAATTCCAACACATATGTGCCACCAAACTTTGATTGTACATAAATAGATACTTAAACTTGTATATAGTTGAACAAGTAAATATGTGAGTCCTATGTGGTGTCTAATCTTACATGGCCAATTTGCATCTGACATGGTATCCTATGTATATTATGCTACATATGACACATGTATCTACTTGTTCAAATTTATACAAGTTCAACTATCTACTTATGCAAATTCAAGTTGAAGGACATAGAGCTAAGACCAAGTTACATGACATGTTTATACATTATGCTTTTTTCTCTGTAATCCAACTAATTCAAATTCACACAGTATAGTGTAGCCCACCGAAGAAAAAACACTCTCTAACCAGAGTTGCACCATTCTCATGACTCGAATCCAAAATATTTAATTAAAAATAGAAGGGTCTCATTCATTCCACCGTGTTTTTTCTTTTTTTTTATAAAAACTTGTTTCTCTATGAATATCTTTGACAGCTTCTATCTGTCCCTGTATGTGATGTAAAGTCAGGTGAAATAATGGCTGTATGTACATGTTGTCCATTCCAGGTGTTAAAGAGAGAACAAAAATTAAATACAGGGGTTTGCGGTTTCTTTCAAAAATATTATAAATCTGCCACGTTCTTCTTATTTGTGTGGTGTGAGAGCTGTATTGTATTAATTAAAAAAAAGTGTTCCTTTTGCCTTCATTTTTTACTCTTCTGTTCTGTCTTTTAGCTCATCTAATTATTATTGCTCTGTTTCTTGCGTTTACTCTGTTTCTATGGATTCTAATTCCCAATTCTTTGGAGAAGGTGAAGAATGTAACAGCAGTGAATCTGGATGGACAATGTACATTGGTTCTCCTTCAACTGGTGATGACAATATTGGGGAATTTGATGAATTAGAAGACAGTAATTATAACAAAGAAGGTCCCGTTAATGAAGACGATGAGGATTGTGAGACTGATGATTCAATGGCTTCTGATGCATCTTCAGGACCAATTAGTAATTTTTCGAGAAATGGGAAGAGTGGTGGTGTAGCTACTATGGTTAATTTCAAGAATTCAAAGGAAAAGGGGAAGGAAAAGAATTGCAGTTTTATTAGCAACAAAGCCAAAAGTTCAATGAAGAATGGTTACAAGAATGATGATCAAGATAAGGTGAAAGAGTCTATCATTGCTGCAAAAGGAACTAAAGGTGCATCCAATGGCGGTGGTAATAAGGTTAGGAAAAGTATTTGGATGGGCAAAGGGAAGTAGACATTATAGTCTATTTGTTAGCGTTTGACTATAGAATTTTTATCAGAACCACGAATGAAACTTGAGTTTTAAATATTTTTCAGTTCCCAAAAACTGATTCACACTAGTGAGAAAATTTACTTCTACTCACAAAACTTTTTCCAAGTAGAATGCAAGTTCAAGAACTCAGATTTTCAAATTTCAACTTCAAAATCTATGGTCAAACGGAAGCTCAAAAGTCTTATTTACTTTAGATAGTATTAGTACTCTTATGTATCTTCCTTTCTTCTTTATTTTGTTAGTGCATTAACATTGTCGTCCCACACATTGTGTCATGTTCTTGTGTTATTAGTAAAATGCTTATAATGACACAAACAGTATTGTGGAAACTATCAATACCTTGAAGGTGAAATTTGAAACAAAATTTCAAAATGAAACTAAAGCTTTGCTAAATGAATATAAATTTCAAATCACAACTTCAAATTTGACATTCAAATTGCAAGTATTAACACCTCTTTAAGAATTCAGAACATTGTAAATATATTATCCACCGATTTAACTTGGTGCAAAGAAGGTAATACTATCAGGGGTCGTTTGGTAGGAAGTATTAAGAGAAATAATCCATGTATTATATATGGTACTATTTAGTATTATGTTTGGTAGAATTTTAGGCTTATGTATAACTAATTCATGAATTAGTTATACATCCTACATGTATTATAGGATGTATTACAATACCTCTCATTTGAAGGTATTAGTAATACATTGGATATAATATCATGGAATAAGCCTATGTAGAGACAAAAATATCCCTCAAATCATTTTGATTATTTTGTTTATTTTCTTGATACTTTTTTTATATTTGTACTAGTTAATTTATTTAAATAAATTAGCTTATAAATTATTTAGAGAAAGTTGTTTGTTACTAAAGAAATCCAATACAAATCAATGCAATATTTTGAAATTTGATTGTTTAACATTTACTAATTAAAAAGATAAATATAACACCACATGACGTTTGTGATTTTAATTGAATGTATTATTAAATCTATTAAAAAATAAAAATATCCCTCAAATTATTTTCATTATTTTGTTTATTTTATATATATATATATATATATATATATATATATATATATATATATATATATTTCAAAAGGTTGAGGTATTTGATCAAAATTTTATGAAGAAAATGACATTAAACATTGAAGAGTAATAAGCCACTCGAGTCTGTATCATCCAACAACTCTCTGCAAAATAACCATGTGTAGAATTGATTATGAACTTCTAAATTAACTAAAATGTACTTTACTCGAGAGAACATATCTAATAATCACCTAAAGAATTCCTCCCCACTAACATCTTTAAAAGCCGCATATGTATTTATTAAGATGACAATTATTTATCTTCAAATAATTTAAGTGAAAAAATTGCAAACATGACAACAAAAGTGTTCTTTTCCTATCTAGTTAGAAGGTCATTTAAAAAAAATACTATTTGGTAATTATCTACCTTGACCCAATTTTATAATAAATCAAGGGTATAATTGGAAAGAATTTTTTTTATAGAGTTTTAGTCCAAACACAAGATGAGGTGAGAAACAATAAACCAAACACTTGATAAAAATAAACTCTGCGTTACTAATCCCTGCACTATTAATCTCTGCATTACTAATCTCTGCGTTACTAATCCCTGCGTTATTAAATTTTGTACCAAATGACCCTTCAATGCATTAACATCTTGTAGATGGTAACTTAGCGTTATTCAGGTTATAATATAAGTGCAAATATCATGATATAGAAGTACTCTTGCGGTGTTCCAATTTATGTTTAACAAGAGTTAATTTGATTTAATTTTAAAATTAAATTCAATTCAAAATTTTGAACAAAAAATACTACTCCACTATAAGTTGCACTTAATTTTAAAAGAAAAATGTATACTCCTAGTTGAAAATTGTAGTCCAAAATTTCTTTGAGTACTCTTAGGAAGGGAAAAGGTGATGCATTAACAAAAGCTTATGGTTTAGTTGAACCTTTGCTCAATAATATTCCTTAATATCGAAGCAAGGCATTGACCCAATTGTAATTTACTTCTTCGGTCCCTAATTACTTGTTCACTTTTGATATGACACATCTATTAAAAAATTAATTAATGATATAGTAAGTTTACTATTTTATCCCTATTAATTATGAAATTGATGAATTAAAAACTTAAGATTTTCAAAAAATTCTACATTTTTCAAAGTAATTAGTGAGGATATAATCGATAATTTTTTTTTTATCCAATCTTGATTTATCAAAATAAACAAATAATTAGGAATTAATATAAAAAAGTGAACAAATAATTAGGAAGCGATGTGGGCAGACCACGCTTGACGTCGACTGAGCGATGTGTGCAAGACAAGGGCGATGCGGTCAGGCCACGCCCGATGCGAGCATGCCACGTCCGAAGTCGGCTGACCGTTGTGTGCAAGCCAAGGGCAATGCGGCCAGTACTCGACAATTAACATGTTTTACATCAGTAGTTGAAAAGTCTGAGCATCCAACAGACAAGATCTTTGAAAGGTCTTCTTACTAAAGTATAAAGGATTACGTTAAAATCTAGTCAACGGCGCATGCAAAAATAAAGAAAAATAAAGGAGGTCAAATTAAATATTTCATACTATTGGTGGTGAATTCAATTATTGTTATACATATAAAAATCTATAAATTTTAAATTATGAATTCTCCTTGAAATAGGTGAATCGACAAGTAATTCAAATAAAAAGAGAAATACAACAAAAAAGAAAAAAATAAATCAATTAATTGACAGTGCTATATTGCATGTGAAATATTGAATGTAAAAGTAAATTCTAAGGGTTTCTCTCAATTCAAGTTACAGCAAAATGCATGCTCCCAACCTGTCAACAGACTGGAAAATAAGGATAGGCCACATAGTATTAACTTCCTCATCTGTAACAGAGTTAGATAGAGTCAATTCCCAAAATGGTCACTCAAGTTTAGAGAATTGCCTTGAAATATTATTTACGTTTTATTTAGGATCAAAATATCACTCAACTATCACTATTTTCTTCCAAATATACTTACCACTTCAAAAGCCCCACTCTCTCCTACTTGACATTCCATGTCATTGTAGCCTTTTTAAAAAACAATAGATTTATTTAATTCATTAAACTCAATTAACTAAAACAATGATCTTACTATTTTTTTATTACATATATTAGTTTATTGAGAAGAAAATTCATACTTAAAAATCTTTTATAATAATTAACTTTTTATTTTTTATTCTATGAAGAATAGTTTTTTTAAAACTTACTATAATGTCATCTATTTTGAATACTTATAAACACATATATTCAAAAAATATTGATATAAAAATCACTGATGAAAATTAAATTAAATTAAAAATAAAATTTAAATAAGAAATTTCTCCTTTTTACCAACTATTTTGTCAACCTTACAAATTTATTTGAATACTTTTATGAAAAAATTACTTAAAATTTTCAAAGAGATTTAAAAAATTCTCAGGTAACAATTGCACACAGAAAAATTCACTGAATTTTGTTTGGTAAAAAAATATGAAGGAATTAGATATATTAAAAGTATTTTTTTATAATCTGCATAAATTTTCACGTAATTTATATATTTATTTTGTAGAGGCATAAATTAAATGAATTAAATAGGTCTATTGTTTTTTTTTTTAAAATGATGATTTAATGGCATGTCATATCAACTAGAATAGAAGGAGACTTTTGAGGCATTTAGTATTTTTTTTTTGGGAAAAAAATTAATAATAATATTATTCACTTTCTATTTTTTTTTTAAAAAGAAATATTGTAAGCATGAATTTCAAAGTACACAATTAATTCTATTGTAATAGTTAATTGACATTTAATATTATTGATTCATTATATAATTTATGATTAATTGATGTAAGTTAACATTTATGAGTGATTTGTATACCAATATTTTTATTTGAATATATGTGTTTATAAGTATTCAAAATTAATGACAATATAGTATATTTTAAAACCCTATTTTTTCATAACATAAAAAAATAAAAAAGTTTAATTATGATAAAAGATTCTTTAGTATGAAAATTTCCTCTTAATAAACGAATATATATATATATATAAAATAATAAGACTATTATTTTAGTTAAATGAGTTTGATGAATTAAATAAGTCTATTATTTTAAAAAAGACTTTAATAACATGGCATGACAACTAGGAGAGAGTAAAGTTTTTAAAGTGTTAAGTATATTTGGAGGAAAATAGTGATATTTTGGTCCTAAGTGAAACATAAATGATATTTCAAGACAATTCCCCAAACTTGGGTGACCATTTAGGGAATTGACTCGAGTTAGATAGATAGATAGATATATAAGTACTTATAACATTTAGCATATATTTTCTTCTTCTATTTATTTTTATTTGTCCACTTTTGATTTTGTATGCATCTTAAGAAATAATAATTAATATAAATATTGATTGAGGTATAGTTTTAGCTCTTTAAAATAATTTCGAAAATAAATAATTAATGTTAAGGGTAAAATAAGAAAAAAGATACATATTTATATTTACTTGATAAGTTAAAAGTAACAAGTAAAAGTGAAAATCTATTTTTTAAAGTATTGAACAAATAAAAATAAACTGAGAAAACTGCTTTTCACAAAATACATTAATGATTTATTTTCATTTTCTAACAACTTTTAGCGGTTCAAGCTAATAACCGGCCTAAAACTAAAACTAAAAATAAATTGGAGGTTTTAAACTTTATATATATATATATATTTAAAGTTTATTCTTCTAGTTTTTTAAGATGCAAAATTGTTAGTATATTTAAAATTATTTTTGAGATGCAAAGTTATTTCTTATTTTTAATGAAAAAAGTTTACGTTTTCTATAAATAATAGTCCATTCGTTCTAATCTTTTGTCTGATTTTTATTTGACACGTAAAAAAGTAAGGAAGATTTTTGAATCTCGTGATCTTAAGCTAAATTATATATATATATATATATC